CAATATTTTAAATTTTATGCTGTCATAACTTCATGTTTGAATGCATTCACGAATGACCGTAACTGCAACTTTAAAGGAATATCGAAAGTACTTGAGACATACAGTAATTTTGAAAGCTTATGTTGAAAATTCACTTACCGTTTGCAATGAGTGGATGTCGTAGTTCTTCAATTTCCGGAAAGTTCTATTTTTCAGGAGAAAAAAAAGGGATGAGGAGAACAACGAAATGTATATCTAAACCGGTAGAAATAACTGGTTAAGATTGAATAAAGGATCCAATTTAAACTTTTTCTTGCTGTTTTTAAATTTCTCATAATCCTCATAAGTTCTTTGTTTCCGCTTGTTTTACATGGAAAACCATTTTACAATTCCATTATTAACTGATTAGGGAATATGCAAATTTGCAAATAATCTTTTATAAAGATGGATCATTTGTCGACTACATTTATTTTAATATGCTATTCACTAATGTTTCGTTCGGTAACTAATTTCATGCGCCGCGGTACTGACTGGAATAGATTCTCCGGGATATTCTCGCTATTGAATAGAATGCTTGAAGGTATCATTGGCACACTCGAAGAGGATCATTATGCAAATCAGCAAAAGAGATTTTGGTAGAGAATGAGTGAAGTATTTAGAAGAAGACCAGCATGATAATCTTCAGGTTGGGTCACACAGCATGATTCATTTGATGGATTTCATTTGGAGAATTCAAAAGATGATTCCGACACTTTAAACGTTTTATATGGTTCCAGAGCATACACAGACAACACATTCAACCACTGACACAAATGATAGTATCAATGATGGAACAACAAAATTCAACGGATTCACCGGAACTGATACGAATACAGTCGGATTGCCTCCTATTGTTGTATGTTTTCTGTTTCATAAAAATTTCTAATTTTTGCCAGATCAAAGATTAAATAAATGATGTATTGCATACTTCAATATCATACAAATTGCCAAATAGTTGGAGCATTTCCTTCAACGAACTATCAATGAGTGCGGTAAAAGATTATGCAATAATCCGAAATGTTTATTTGAGCCAGTAATGTTCTCCCTGGATTTCTGTAAAATTTACTCAACTAATTACTTTTTAAAATCTTAAGAGAATTGCTGAGAAGAAAGAGAACGGTAAGAATTGCTTATGTAAATATTTCTTAAATTACGAGATTTTACAATCAACCCAAGATTTACACCGATGGCTCTTGCATCAATAATTGCGCATCCGGTATTGGAATTTATTTCGGGCCCAATCATCCTTTAAACAAAAGTAAGGCGATTCATGGTCATGAGCATAACAGTGGACTGGCTGAGATAATTGCAGCCAAGACAGCGTTGAAATTACTGCGAAAATGGAATTTTTACAAGTAAAATTAAATTACTAATCATCAACTATGCAAATATTATCAATATGGTGATATGATTATAAAACCATATCATATTGCTTTGCTTATTATCGGAGGAGAATCTTTTTAGCTAAATTAATTCAAACGATTAAATTTTGCTTTCTTTTCTCATTTACCAGAGGTGAAAATATTATATTACGCACCGATTTCCTACCACTTATATATGCAATGAATAATGATGGTTTTAATGGGAGATTTCATGAAGAGTATTTTAAATTGAAACAATTAGCTAGCAAATTCCCAAATGGTGTACAATTTGAACATGTTTTTGGCCATGAAGGAGAACATGGAAATGAAGAGGTTAAAGTTCACTTTAAATAATGATCATCTAAAGCATATTAGCTAGAATATTTCATCATGTAAATCAATATATGGAAGATGGAATTGATTCTATAAACATCTTAAATTGCCTGTGTAAGTCAGCAGAGCTTTTCTCGGATTTCTGTAAAGCTTATGCAACCTTATTGCTTTATAAAATTTTTGCAAACCTAATATTACATTTTGTGTTTTCATTTTATAAAACTAAATAGACATGTTGAAATTTGCGCATTTCTGATTTCAGGCAAACAATTTAGCCCGTCGAGCAACTATGGATGCTCGATTAGCGCGATCTCGCAGTGCACCACCGTTCCGTGACGTATCACGTGATCGTGATTTCCCAACACGCTGTCGTTCACGATCACGTTCACGAAATCGCAGATATTCCAGACGTATAAATTCTTCAGATCATCGTCGAAGTCGAAGTGCTTACATCCCAGGAAAATATTCCAGACAACGAAGGTTTTAACATAATTAGGAATGATTTCGAAATTCGTTATTTCATCATATTTATAGAAGTGATCTAGAATGATCTGAAAGATGTCACAAGCATTTCGATTACTCAACAATATTAAGAATCTAGACATTACTTTTAATTCAGTATTAGGATAGAGATTGATCCTGTTCGCTGTCTCCGTTTTCTTTCAATGAGAAAATCTGTTCCGTTTCTATGCCGGTTATTATTCCGTTTCTCATTCAATCATAATTCTTTTGCAATGTTCTTCTGCAATACATCTTTCTTCAATCATAAAAATCTTCAGAAAATGAAAAAAAGAGAACTTCAATCTATGAAGATTAAGATATATTTGTCACTTATTTCGTTAATATTTCACTTGACACCAATAAAACAAATAATTGAACGAAACGATTGGCAAACGAGAAATAATAAAATGAAGATTTTAATGCACTGTTTATTGACTTAAATTTAGTTTAAAAACTGTAAATTTTATAATTTCTTTTTACCATACTCATTTGTCAACAGAATTAACTAAATACAATAAATGAAAAATTCATCCAATTATAATATATATGAAAAACCTCGGTAAATGTATCACTTAATTAATTTTTTGTACTTATTTACTTAATTACTCGATACTCATAATTTTTTATGCTTCAGAAAGGAAAAAATAATACTATATTGTTTGTATTTAATTCTAAATGAGCAAAATTAGACCGAGATATCTCGGATGATAAAGGAGGGAAATAATTCTGGTTTCAAACATACTTGAAAAATCAAACAAACTAAACAACCAATAATTCTAATTAATGATTGTGATTAATTATAGAATTGCATGAATCACTTTTAATATGCATAATATATACGAGATGTAATTATCTATTTGCGTAAAAGTGATGCATATTGCATTTTACCGTAATTATAATCATCAAATGATTACGATAATTCAAGAATGCAATGCAATTATTAAATGTATATGGAAAGCATGCATACAGCACAAATACCATTAATTAGTAATTGCCAAATGCTAACGGTGGCAGCAAAACTGTCGAATCAATCTACGGTAAAACCACCAACAGTAAAATCAATCGATGTTTACGGTAGCACTACCAACAGTAAAATTAGTTGAAGTTTATGGTAGAGCTATCGACAGTAAAATTAGTCAACAGTGATATGTATAAGCTTTCATCGATAGTAATCACATAATATAGATATTACCAATCTGGATGCATATAATGCTTAAATATTGTTGATTCAATAGAATTTTTAGATGATCTTTTTACGATAATAGTCCAAAACATACCAAAAGTTATGGATATTCCGCGGAAATTAATTCGCGGTAAACGAGAGGAAAGAATATCTGTACATATAACGTTGACGTTACACACCTGTCCTCACTCTCCTTTTTCTTTTCTTTTTTTTTTTTGCAACTGAGCACCTAACCCAACACCTTTTACACCTTTGGATTGAGGAGATTGATGTAGAGGAAAAGAAGGTAGGCAGGTGATAACATGTGTTGACATGAGTCTATGAGGTCGATAACGTAACGTAATAAGTTTATTCTCCTTCTTACGTGTTTCATAATTGTTGTAAATCTCATAATCCTAATGACAATCCTACTACAATCATCTTTCGCGTGAAACGTGCCTAACAAACTCAGTTGAGCAATTTAAAAGTTTTTCTTTTTCCTTTTTTTTTTCGGAGTTTCTAAGCAGACCTTTTTACAAGTATTCTACGATGATATTTAAGTGATTCAGAGATCATTTTCTTTTTTTTTATTATATTTAGAAGAGGAATTTCTAAACAGATAGCTTTCATAGATATTGTAAACTTGACTACAGTTTGGTTTCAGAAGTTTTATGCATCCGACGATATCTTAAAATTAGTTAGGATTGGCGAAAGATTTCTCCTAATATGAACCTATGATACTATTATCTGGTATAAATTTATAATATGATTTTTCGATGTGTGTATCGTTCCGCAAGTAAAACTTCTAGAATTTTAGGTTATATGATAAGTTGACACACGATTCGGAATAATGTCATCGAAGAAAAGCTCACAGCTACAAGCTAATTCCGAGACTGTTCATTGGAAAAAGACGGTAATTTGTCGTTGTTTTTTCTTCGTTATCACCAAACTATCACATGACGTGACGATCTCACAAAATGATGTCTACCATATAAAGTAAGGACTCTGATAAGATAGTATGTGATTCAGTTTTAAAGATGTTACTGTCTTTGCATTCAAAGATCATTCACAATACATGGCCACGCTTGTATCTGTTGTACACGTGAATTCATTGATTTAGTCGAGAAATCTTCGTCTAAATTTTTTTTGATTTGAACCCTTATGTGCATGATTCAGCTGCAAAGTTACGAAGTTCATGCGGTCGAATCCGCGGCATGCTTATCTCACATATACGTTTATTATCTTCTTAGTTGGCCAAAGCGTTGGTAAGCGGAAGCGAATGGCCCGATAAAGATGAATTGTTGGATGTATTATATTGGGGAAGGCAACTTCTTGCACTTATGATTGGTATTTTTTGGGGTTTCATACCTCTACACGGCTTTTTGGCCATTGTTCTCTATATCGCAATTTCTACTGCAGTTGGCCAATTATATGCTACCAATTTTCAAAAGGTTTGCTATCGTTATTGTGTTTTGCATAGTTTTTTTCTTACTATTTAAATAAATCTCTCTTCTTGTTACTCATTTACTAGTCCCGCTTTCTTTTCCACTGACTATTCTGTCTGTTGCTATAGGTACCGAAATAATATGAAAACTAGTTGCTTCAAGAAGTTAAAAAATTGACATTTCTTATCTTTTTACAAAACAGTTGCTAAATGGAAATAAAGTTGCTACTCGATAACATACCATCAATGAGCTGCGGTGAATTTTTCAAACAATATGGAACGAAATCTTATTTTATTTATTTATTTATTTTTTTTGTCAAAAGACACTATTTGATTCGGATTTTTATTTGACTTGAACGGAGCTTTTTTTTTAGGTGGATGAAGATTCCTTGGGTGGATTTTGGGAATTAGCAAAAGAAGGTTTTGGATCTGCATTCGCAACGTTCATGGTTTCATGGATAGGCGTTTATTCTGCTTCACATTTTAACTGATTGTTTTTTCCTTCCGAAAGTGGGAACAAATTGCCAAGTTTTGCCAGCAAGTCGAAAAACATGTCTGAAAAAATTTTGGGGCTAAAGCGAAGCTATGTAGTTGTTGTCTTATTATGTGAAGGAGTTTAAACTTGCTTATGTAATTAATTAAATCAAAGTTTAGTGTAACTTGGTAGTGTTCCCTTACTGGTACAATATTTATAAAACTACTAGTCGATGATTCATTTATGGAAGTGGGAATAGATTGTTAACGTTTGCTTACTGAACTGTTCAAATACCATTCTTTGTGCATATTCTTAACATACATTTCATTCATCCACATGTCCAGCTAATATCATTTTGCAATAACGCATCTATGCATGCGAAGCCTTTATTCTTGCCTTTCTTAGAATTAGTGAAGAACTTCTTTTTTTTGCCTTATGGCATTCAGGTTTCGGTGGAATTTTTTAAATTTATGTGAAAAAACTTGATTTCTTGAAATTCATTCTTCAATAATAGGATTCCTAAATTACGGGCTGAAAGAAAGGCATTCATATCTGTTCATCGTATGATTTCTGATGAATTATTTGTGAAGTTGGATTGAATATGATCTGTTACTTCTAAATTTATAAAATATTTATGACAGTATAGAAGCATGTTGTTTGATTACAGGATATATCCTTATTATTCTACTTATGATCGATAATTACACAAAGCATTCTTCTGATTTTAATAATATTGTACTTGGAACATGATATGAGTCGTTAAACGTTACAAATGTTTGTAAGATCGAAGCAAGCTTGGCCGAAATTTTTTTTACCATCCTTTTTATGTTTGATGAAAAAAAGCAACTTTTTGGTTTTGTAAAATGCTTAGCGAAATATTTCGGCTACAGAAATCAACTAAGAACTTGGTTTCTATCTCTTACTGTTTCACTTATTGATTAACCGAAATTTTAGGTCTAGATCTAGACGTATTTGTGTTTTTTTGTGTTGTTGATTTCTACTTCGACACTCATGTTTATAATTGTAGAGTTGGTCCGGTTGATAGTAAATGGTGTATGTTCACGTTATGAAATCCATAATCGTAATTGAAATATTACTGGAGTTGCTGTGTATTTCGATGGTTCCATCCCACGAAGTTCAAGATCGAAGTAAGCTTAGTTTAAGTTCTTTTCTTCTTTGTTTTTCATATGTATTAACAATATTTAAACTTTTAATAAGCTTTTAATAAAAAAATAATTTAAAAAAAATAATTTAAATAATTTAATAAAAAAATAATTTAAAAAATAATTTAATAATTTTAATAAAACTTTTAATAAAAA